TCTATAGAATACTTAAAGGTAAACCTGTACCATAATGTCTGGATCATAGCCGTGATATTCTGAAAGTTCAACATCAATGATATCTAAAAAAAATTACTTTTATCTATTTTTGGCAATATACAAGGAAATACTGAGCAAAGCATTCCGTTTTTCTTCATCTGAGCAAATAATTTGCACGCAACCTCAGAAACAGGATGGATAACTTTTACTCCGTCAAAAGATGGTTCCTTCATCTAGGCATACAGTACGTTAAATAAACGTAACGTTTGCCTCACCTGGGGATAAATACCATCGATCCTTAGTCGTAATTGGCTTTTCATTCCATAAGTCTATAGCACTTTCAGTTGCCTTCTTTCCATCTTCTTCCGTCTGGAGAGAAAAAATCGAAAAGGAAGATAATACGAATGATGAAACACGAGCAGACATTCAACTTGATTCTTTCGTATCGGTTAATAAGTCATAAAAACGTTGAATAAGGATTTTTACAGATGGTTTCTTAACCCCTTAACTTCCATGAGTGATCAAGACACAACTTTTCCTTACGTTATCAATACGATATAAAGCAGACAAGTGACGAGAATAAAGAAAAATATCAACAAGGGATTATCAGTCGATCCAATGACAAATTCTCCGAAGAAACATCATGAAAATTGTTTATCAACCAGTAAGGAGATTCAGTAATGAAATCTTGGAAGTGAAAGGGTTAAAAAGGATTTCGTAACTCATAGAAACCTTAAAAAAAACTATTCTTATCAATATGTTCATGACACACAAAAAACTTCCAAGTGCGTTCTTACCAATGGTTCTGTAAGCTACACAAACCTTAGCTGGGGCTAATGACATCAAACACGCTGTTAATGTCCTGATCGTAGGAGGCGACACGTGTATGTAAGCCATTGCTGTTGATACGTCAATATGCATGCTACTGCCTTCTGGTACCGAGCTTACAAAAGATATATGCGAAAGCTGAAGAACCTGCAAATGAAAAGGTAAGTAAACTGTTCCAATAACTTGTCAGGGAGAAACATTAATACATGAAGAGCTTACTCTCTGATGTTTTTAAGGCAGAAAGCACGGAGGATCTGGGCTACCCTTTGGGAAAAAACTACGCATTCAGTTAAAGCAAAGAGCGCATTTCGATTGAGTGCGACGGGAACGCAAGAAAGAGCCTGTGACCAAGTCGCAATTGGCTGAAGTTTTGAATCTGATTAGTTAAGAAAGGAGCGCGACCTTCTGGACCAATCACACAACAAAGTAAAGTAAACCAAAGAAACCTTAGATTGATTTGGAAACTCAATTGAAAGTTTCTTCATCAAGGTTGAAAATCCCGGCGCGTAGTTCGCTATTTACAATCGTGACCTACGACTCGAACCCAAGAGCTCTGGGAGGTAAATTGACTCCTCTAGTCACGTTGTCGCACCGCTGATCAATTCACTACACCCTCAAGTAAAAAGGAATGAAGTTTCACCCTGGATTTGGTTGAAGCTCTTCTCTCTTTGTCAAACGCTGCTAAGTTAATTACGACATCTGAAACAGAACCTGACATGTTTTGCCGTCCAAGACCCTGAACAAAGCGGAAATCGATTGTATTCTGCACGGAAAAAAAAAAGAAAAAAACGTGGAATAAACTATTCCCTAATGTTTGAGAATATAAAACACTCATGAATATATAATTTACTAAAACTTTTACAAAAGAAGTGGCTGAACTGAGAACATATCCGTGAGATGTAAACCGTCACAGTTTCACTTTTCATGGGAATCCAATCCTTAAGTAAAAGGGTCACAAGCCGTTTTTTTCAAAGTCGATTCACCCTTCGCGAATACCTTTAAAAAAAAATGTTTATCCGTAACTTTTTATATCAACAGACTCGATTAAACTGTGGCTTCGAAAGCCATTTCAATAGCCATTTCTTCCTTTTCCGTAGTTTCTTTCCCGGTTATACGTGTATACGTTGACTGACTCTTTGCCTTGTGGTATGTTGGCTTCCATCCTTGACTGCTCGTTTTAACCTTCTTTTAAAGGGGGTGAGTTTCTAAAGAAACTGTGGTGCTGCGTCGGTGGGAGAGTATAGCAGG